TTTATGTTCCTTATTTCAGCGGCGGGGAGATACGATTATTTTGACACGAATCGCTGCTTTGCTTTACTGGCAGACTTTGAAAGGCTGAACAAAATGATCCAGTTTATGCTGCTCTTTGACCCCTTTTTTCCTACCTTCCAGCACCCTTATCCTAGAAGAACAATGGACCAGAGTGGCATGGTGTACAAAGTCGGCAGTAAGCTGACAATTGAAAATGTCACCGTGCAGGACGGAGGGCTGTACGTATGCAAAACATTCAACGTCACACGGCTGGAGGCCAACGTCACAGTGACAGTGTACGGTAAGTTCTGCAGCTCGACCAGCATACCCACCAGCCAAGACTCTTAAGCTTAAAGGATAATGCCACATTATTAAACCTGTTGATAGGCAGATGGCATTAGGAAGAATGCCAGCTAGTTAAAACAACCATTAATCATCTATAATCTCTAATCAAGCTATAAAAGAGTCAGCACCCAGCACTGCGTTTTTCAAAGAAACTCTAATTTAGAGAGTTCAAGACCGAAACATGCCTGAGGACACGGATCAACCAGGAGCCAAACTGTTTTGAAAGAGGTGGCATCAAGTGTGGTTGCTGATGCCCTGGCAAATCTGGCCTGCTGGCATTCACACACACAAGGGATACTCCAGGCATTTCTACACGTGGCTCCAGGGGCAATGCAGATGCATATTGTCTGCTTTAAATATAAAATCCTTCATTTGGAGATAGACCATTTGGAGATAGACCTTCCTGGCCGTGGCTGAGCTTTGCAGGGGATCTGCGGGCACAGCCTGTCATTCCATTTGGTTCTCTGCAGCTTCTGCAGATCTGCATTGCAAAAAACCCAGGGCAGACCCAAGGCGGTTCAGAGATGCGAGCACTGCTCTGTGGCAGATAGACCATCACTCGTCTTCCTGCTCATTTCTCTCCCCAGACAAACCTTTCCTCATGGTTTCACATAAGAAAGGGTCTTACTATGAGATTCCATCAGGACACAAGTCACTGAAACTGGCTGCTAAGGTGGACGCCTTTCCTCGCCCAAACGTCACCTGGTGAGTACCATCAAATCAGGAATACGTGACCTTCTTTCAAGCTCCTGTCTAGGATAGATTCCCACCGTTCCTTACTACACAGACAAAAGATGGGAGCTGGGAATGCTCAGAGCTGTGGTCTCACAGCTCAGCTAAGGAGATGTGACCCCGGCTCTGTGCTGACGTATGCCCTGTGAAGCTGGGCAAGCCAAACCTCTCTCCCATGCTACTTTTCTCTCCTAGCCATGCAGAAAAGGTCCCTACAGGAGGAACAGCAAATTTCGTTTACCCTGGACACAGAACTGTTTGGAGGATTCAAGTAGAAAGCAATTGTGGAAGGGCTGCAAATTTACCAGCATTACTGGTGGTCAGTCTGCAAGGAGGTGGTGCATAACAGAAAGCTGCAGGATACGTTCTCAACATGAGAAATTGTCTCTCTTCGTAACTTTTAAATCATTTTCTCTAATCCTGTACCACCATCAATGTCAGACCCTTGCAGACAGTGCAGTGAGTCCTCCCAAGCAAAGTAAAGGCTCCACCAGGACCGTAATGAATCAGCTTAACAGGAGGGACGATGTGTCAGCAGCTCCAGGAGATGCCCATTTCTCCCTTTACCCTTTCATCGCTTGCCCTCTCTCTTGCTACTTTTTCTATGCTTCATTCTACAGGGGGTCTTTAAGAACCCCATCCAACATCTAATACATCTTTAACTGTACGAAATCCCGTACGACAGCTGGCATGGGTTTGCCTGTCCTGGCAGAGAAGGTGGCCTGGGTGAGTTAGCACCAGCACAGTGCACTTTTCCATGGCCAGTTGAGTCCCACCCAGGGGGCCCTGGCCATCAGCACAAAGTATTGCTCAAGGTTGGGTTTGCTGCACTTTTTTTAGCAGTGAAGTAACATGAAATTCTCTAATATTCGGTCACACCAGTGAAATCAGTGCTGCCAGGAGATATTTTTAATTGTTGCTGCTATTTAGGAGATGGAAATGTTTTTGTGAGTTGAAGTGGGGTCCGTCTGCCTTTGCCAAGGCTTTGTTCTCGGGGCTGAGTGTGGAGCTCCTTGGGAGCTGCCTGGGACCACCAGCGCTGCCTTCCCTGCGTGTTCGACGCTACAGCTGTTGATGTTGGAGGTCTCTCAGGACAGTTGTTTAAATGACTGTAAAGGAGGTTTCCAGCACTCTCAGGCAGTAGGACACATGCCTCAGCTTCTACTTCCACCAAGCCTAAAGCTCTGTGTGTGGCAAAGTCTGGCCTATTTCATATTCATAACTCAAATCTGCATATCGATTAGCAGTGGAGTCTGCTCGTGCGGACTCTGCTATCCTTCTCTTAGCTAGTGAAGATTCAAGACTGTGGATTCCTCATGGACCTTCCTATCGACTGTGAATTCTCCAGGTCACAGACTTCAACGTTTTCAGAAAGACTAAAGGGTCATGTATATTGAAAGACAATTCTGCTTGATTAATATCTTGGTTTAAAACTGATGACATAAATTTTGGCTAACCGACGCACTCAGTATTGCACATCCAGCATAATTTGGGGGCATCTAGATGTACATTTCTGATCATAGTTGAGCATTCAGATCCATTCAAATACATTTCTTTTCCCTGTTTGCTGGATGAAGCCATCCCACAGCACTGCAGGTGCTATGAGTAAAGGGTAAAAGGAATAGATGTCCAGTTCCAGCAGTGATTATGGATCTGTGTTTCCCTTGCTGTTTCCAAAGGATGACTCTGTACCCACCTAACTTGAGTAATAGCTTTTCTGAGGGCTAACGTGCATGCATGCACATCATGAGGGGTTGGACTAGACGGACCTTTAAAGGTCTCTTCCAACCCAAACTATTCTATGATTCTATAAGCCTTGATGGGATTTTCAAAACAGGTACAAAGACGGCAAACCGATCAAGGATAACCACACTTGCTATGAGCTGGATCCAATGAGGTACAAACTGGGCATAAGAGATGTGAGACCAAAGCATGCTGGAAACTATACCATCGTCTTGAGCAATGAAGAATACGGCCTGTATAAGAACCTCACCATGCAGCTGGTAGTGACAGGTAAGGACTTGATGTTTATATTGACTTCTACTGGGTTCTTTCTCATTTTTTCTGTGATCCTACTTTACCAGTCGGCAGGAACAGGTGACATTTCCCCATGTTTAGCTGATACGAGCTGATACAGCACTGTGCATAGATTCCCACCTTACTTAGGAACCACTGAAGATCCATCCACCTCATTTCACCACGTGTTAAATCAAAGCAACAGAATGGAGAGCTGGTATGAGGAGTTAATCTGAAACTAGGTCATCTAAAGTCACTTTCCACTGAGATACTGCACCTCAGACACGGTCTGTGGCACCTTTGTGTTGGGACGGTGTCTCCGCAGAGGGAGGCAGAAATGGCTTGAAAGTGGACAAACTTAACAGGACTTAAATTTTAATAGGAGTTTGGGAGGATAGCTAGTAGTGAGGTCTTAGAGCTAGAGGCAGAGTTTCCCAAGAGAAGTGATGGAAGTTGTATCCCTGGAGATTAAAAACTAGCTTGGGCAAAGCACTGGAGAACATCTGTTGGGACAGGAAAAGTCCCAATAGGGCTGACGGAAGGAACTGGATAAGCTACCCTGTCTTTTATGTCTCTCCATCATCCTGCTACAGAAATACTTTCCAAGTCTGTATTTTGTGTATTGTCACTTATCTGCTGGGAGCACTCGAGAGACAGGTTCCTTTTCAGGGGAATCTGGAGAAAACCGAAGTAAACTCTGGTGTGCACTGAAGCAGGTTCACTTGACACAGAGGGCAAATAGATATTGGAATCACGTTTATTAATCTCCCTTGCTGGAATAATGGAAGACAGAGCCACATTGTCTCTTTGCACATCCACTGCCTCTTTTAATCCATTGAATTTGGCAACAGAGATTGAATCACGAGGCCAAGCAGGAGTTCAGCAAAAGTTAGCTCTGCTTCCCTTTGTATTTCCCGAGGTTCGCTCAGGCAGTGAAATAGATAAAGTTATTGGGGACAGCTTTGCTTTCTTTTCTGCAGTGAATTCTTTCCTCCTTATCCTCTTTACGCCTAAAAATATTCTCACTTGTCCTGTCTTGTACACTTATGTACTGTTGCACCGTGTAACTTCCAGCCTTTGTGTTCTTCTCATTTCGCCTTTCTCCCTTCACAAAGGAGTAACAATGCCTAACGAATGGAGAACTTGTCACTTGGGCACATTTGGCCTATTAAAAATGCTAAATAAGACACGGTAGCTTAAACCACCTTAAACGTTACATAAACTAAAGTGTGATTTAGGAGTGGAGAGAGCTAAGGACACGCTTATGGTCAGGTACTGCAGCTCAGCTGATGAGGAGGAACGTGTTAAGTTGCAGTAATTTGTTCACTTGAGACTGTTTATCCGTACAATGGTTTTGCCTTCTTGCTAAGAGAACGGAAACGTTCAAAGGAAGAGAAAATTAAGAATGATAATAAACTATCTTGTCAAGGTAAACATTGGTGTTTGCACGCAAAAGAGAATGTTTACTTGAAGAGCAGCCGTGCCCCAAATAGGCACATAAAAAACAAACAGACCTTGTTTGCATCAGCAAGATGCTATTTCAGGATTAAACCATCCCATGCTCTTAACCACAGAATGAGCCTTTCATCTCTATTGTGTGCACGAGTACGCGGTACTCTGTCTCACCCACGGCGTGTGCCTAGCCCGGTGCTCATTGTTGGCCCTTCTGAGACATCAGCCCAACAGAGACTTCAATCAGGAATAATTTATTTCCTTGCAAAAACATCATTTCTCAAGAGTCTGCAAAGTCCAGCAGCTGCAGGAACGTTACCCACTGCACAAGGTTCTGCATGGAGAAGCAGAGGAAAAACGAACAGCAAGTGTCTCTTTTCTAGGAAAAGGTCATCCCAGAAATGACAGCAAGCAAAGGAAAATATCTGCCAGAAAGTGCCGTTGTTTTTAAGCTCAAGGCTGCACACAATGAGGATATTTGCCCTGGCTGTAGACAGGATGGACACAAAACACCCAGGAAATCTCTTGCCTTTGCCAGGCTCTTCTCAGCAGCAACCTGACGTGCTGTTTGTGAAGCACCCAGCCCAAGGAGAGGGTCATTTTGCTGAGACGCCTGTGGGTAGAGACCAAAAAAGGCAAATTTTGCTCTTGAAGCTTATCCAACAGCAGCAAACTGCCTTTTTTCTTCTGCTTTCAGTTAAAGGGACTGCCATCCCAGATCTGGGCATCATTTGCTTTCCTTTCACAAAAAACTCTGAAGCTCCAAACGGAATGCAGGTTTGAATTTTTCCCTTAACCCTTCAACAAATAACCTGACTCTTTATCTCCCGTCAGACTGATATCCTGGCATTGCACCTGAATAGATTAAATTGCTTGGAACTTCAGCAGATGCTTAGACCCGGAGAAAGAGACCAAAACACACTTTCTAGCCGTTTTATACAGGGATTACCTTGCCCACCACTGAAACACAACCACCTCTGAGCTGGGAGGGGTGATTAATGTCTCTGCCCCAAACCATGGGCAGTCTGCAATTACTGCAGCTGGAATTTGAACACAGGGATTAGCAGACTTGATGGAAAAATCCTCTTGGGCTTGCAAGTGAACACGGTGGTGGGAGCATCAGTTTTGCATCATGTCTAAAAGGTGGAGCCTGCAGCAGTTCAGCGAGCGACAAGCCTCATGCTGAGCACATAACCATTCCCAGCTCCCTATTACTGAGAAATGACATTTCTTTTTGAGTAACAGCATTGCTCCCCAAAAGCCAGGGCCAGTCTTTTACATTTCGGAGCTGCACCTGTAAAAGTGAGTGAGTTCTGATCTTAGAAGATGGAAAATTATTTACACAGACTTTTCAATGAGAAGATAAATGTCATTTGAATGCTTTCTTTTGCTGCAAGGGGCCACTGCATTGAAGAAATGATAAGTAAGCATACAGCCCCCTCTCCTGTGAGTCTCTTCAAAATAATTCGTCGCTAATGTTCCCGAGCATCACAGACAGTACCACTGGCAGTCAGCGTGCTGTGACAAACCCATCAACGGCAAATTCGAACTAGGTGCAGAGGAAGTTTGAAGTTAATGGTGCTGTGAATCGTTGTTCACAAACAAAGTATAAACAGCAGCAGGATTCCTCCATCAAACTGCGCTGTATTAATTTTTGCAGCGTATTTCATGCAATAATAATGGCAGCAGAAGAGAACCCTTTAAGCAGGATGAGAACAAGACAAGAAGTCATCCGCTTGAGCCCTCCAGGACAGCAGCTTATAGGCACTGTATCTCCTGACGGGGCAGAAAACCAGCCCTGCTGAGGCTTTCCTTGGGGTCACCTCCCGTATCCTCAGTTGGCAGCAATCTCAGTAGTTCTGACATAAGGCGCACGCTGTACGTGCAAGGTATTTCACTCCATGGCAACGAGTAAAATATTAAGAGTTATTTCCCCAAAAAAAAGTTCGATATGGCCACAAAAGCGATGAGTATCTGCAGAACGCAGAGGTATCCATCGTCTCAGCTCCACGGAGGCAAGAAGGAGCAAAAGGGGCAGATAACTCCCAGAGCTGCAGGGTGGGCACTGATAGCAAAGGTGGCCCGAGGCGAGGACCTGGCTGACGACGCGCAGGAAGGAGGCACGCGAAGACGTGCGAGAGCTGCCTGGCCTGGAGGAGAATCACGCTGCTATTCAAAAAATGTCTCTTTAAGAAGTGGCTTAGCTGTGCCTCTGGTCACCCGTGCTCCCACTGCAGCTGGAATTTAATCTTGCAGGAGCACATATCTCCCTTGTGGAGTCACCTTGGCTCATTGTAGGACTCCAGTCCCCAGGAGGCAGCTGATTGCATTTTCAAAACACTCCTTCTTTACATATTTACACATCAAACACTGTCCAAGAAGCAGCGGGTTGCTGTGTTTTTGTTTTGTTTGATTAAATTCTTATTGAGAAAAGCTTCGAGAAAATAATGTCCTGAAGAATTTGGAGGGGAGGGAGCAAGGAGAAGGAACAATCCTAGCTAACAGCTGGTGGCTGTACATCCAAGCCAGCCAAGAGGGAGAAACGTGGGAGAAAAGAGTTATTCCGGGCTGGAGTACAAAGCTGTTTCAGAACAAAACATAAACAAAACTCCTCCAATCTATTTACGGGCAAGCAGGGCCCATTTCATTCTCACCCTTGCACAAGTCATCTGCATGTATCAGGGTTCTTGCTGAGCCCTTTATGGAGCAGTCAGCACGCTCTGACCACCACGTTGTGAGCAAAGATTGTATTGAAGCATAAGTTAATTCAAAAATGGGATGAATAACCTCCTTCACCACTTTGCCATTCTTCTTTGTCCCAAAGTTTCTCTCCTGTGCTCCCTCAAGGCTCTCCCAGCAAATATTGCTTTGGGTTCCAGCTGCTCTAGTCAATTGAAATTACTCTCCCTTGTAGAGTCCTTGATCCCCCAAGCTCTTGTGTTGTATCTGTAAGAAACGCAGGATTAAGTGCTAGAAATAGCCTCTCCCATAAGCAGTAGTCATTCACAGGCTCCTTATGAATTCCCTCTCTCCTGGGCAAGAACTGGAATAAAAGGGGTGCACGGAGAATTCACGTGTGCATTGCCATGTGCTCCTTGTTACGTCAGCAAGGTGACCGGCTATGCCTCGGTGTCCTACTGGGGAGAATTAGCTCCAGAGCCCTTCATGATGCATATGCTGCCCTACTCTGCAGTCAGGCCAGCTCTTCATAATTTGGTTTAAAATCAAAGGCAAAGGAGTTCTGTGCCTGACCTACTTTGGCTTGCAAGGGATGAGTTGACATCAAAGGGGTCCCCAGTGATCTCCATGAAAGTTAATAAATATGTGGTGATCCACGTGAACAAATACCCCATCACCTCAACCAGACCCAGAAACAGTCTGAAGAGGGAAACGAGCCTTCAAGATGAGGTTAATACATTTGGGCTATGCCAGTTCAGGCAAAAAGAGTTCTTAGAGTGAAGGATCTCAGTTAAAGCCAGTTGAAGACAAGACAGGAGACTCCTGTAGTCTTTTGTGCATGGAAGGGCCGCAGAAATCTCTAAGAT